GGCCGGGCGAGTGCAATCTAATCCCAGGCCAGTTAAGGACCGCACCACCAAGGCCTCCAGTTAGCTGGGCTGCTGGGGCCAGATCGCCAGGGCAGCCTGACAGGCAAGGACAGAAGAAGCCTCAGGGAGCCTTTGCAGCCTCAGCTGGGTTAACATGAAGGACGGTTTAAAACAGTAAATTAAACAAGAGAACGAAAAAGAGAAGGGGCCAGTCATCTACGCTGAAAACAAGTCACCAAATACAGAGTAACAGATATGACTACACGGGAACTAAAGGAATCTCTAACTACAAAAATAACCAAAATTCACATGAAAACAGGCTGGAAAAGATTTTCAGCAAATATTACCTATAAAGAGTAAACATTTGTACTCTAGAGAGCATACATAAAGCAACATAAAAGGCTTAAAACCTTGAAAGAAAACTGAGAAAGGACACAAACTGGAAATTCCCAAAAGGGAATTAAGTGACCACAAATTCTCAATGGCTCTAAACAAAGAAAGGAAATCGAGCCCCACTTTTCAGGCGTTCTACTGGGGTGCACTGAGGTGAGGTGAACGAACGCAGGCGGGAGCTGTGGAGTAGCATTCTCACCCGCACCACCACCACCGGCCCTGAAATGAGGAAGACTTGCTGAATACTGCAGTAATCCGGCTCCCAGGAATTTATTCTAAGGAGGAAAAGAAAAACAAAAAGGAGGAGCACAAATGTTCACAGCAGTTCCAGTCACATGAGTGAACCTGAAGCCAGGGAAGCAGGCGAGCCTCTTCCCAGCCCTGCAGAGGGAGGGGCCCAGCTATCTCCTGACACAAGGGCGAAGCCTGCACCACACTCTCCCAGCTTCTCCCAAGAGACAGGAGAACCACGGGTGGACCAGAGCGGGAGAGGCCAAAGCAGGGCTCCGACTGCACCCCGTGGCTGTGGTGAAACGAGCCCAGGAAGCAGGACGCAGAGTGGGTGGACGGAGCAGCCCAAGGCTCCACTGTTAGCATAAACACCCTGGTCCGTTCATTCAGTTAACTAACCAAGCAGCTTACAACAGGCTACCGGTTATTGATCTACTTTGAAAAGCTTAAGAACTTAAAGGAATCATTTTGATCTTTTACTTCAGAAAGTCAATTCCCACCCTCCTGAAGAAAGCTCCCCCAGGCCCCCGCCCCGCACTGGCACCTTCTTCTCTCTGGCAGGTGGTAGATTCCGTCTGCAGATTAAGCGCCGAAACCAGACCTAAGTCAGAGACACGCCTGATTCTCAGCATGTAGTTAGCATGTAGTTAGTGTGTAGACAGGGCTTTAACACAGCCTCGCTTTCTCACACAGCCTCTGGCTCCCACCATTCAGGAGACAGTTGTCATTGCCTCTGTACAGATGTCAACACGGGGGCTGAGAGTCTCACAACTTTCCCACCATCATTTCACAAGGGGTAACAGTGTAAAACCCTCCACTTTTTTTGATTCCAAAGCCAGTTCTCTCCTCCTCACCCTCTCCCATCCCACCCAAACCCTGAGAAGACCAACCTCAAGGATATAAACCTGAGGCCACCAGCAACTTTGGGCCATTTCAGGAGAGCCGAGTGAGTCTGCCAGGGCCCGACAGGCTCTACAACCACCTCGAGCAGGCTATCCACACTGGGCTTCTAGGCAGTTAAGGGAGGACCACATGAGCACGGACAGTTTGCTCTAAAATGCCATCTCTCAACCCTTCAGGTCTCAGGACCCCTTTATACTCTAACTTTATGGAAGACCCCAAAGAGCTCACCTTCATTTGGGTTAGATGCATCAACACTTATGTATAAGAAATTAAAACAGACATTTTCAAATATTTAATTCATTAAAAAGCAAAATAAATCCATTCCACATTAACATAAATGATTTTTTTTTAAATTTCTTTCGAAAATGAAGGTAATTAATGAGAAACATGACACTGCTGTACACTTTGCAAATCTCTTTAACATCTGGCTTCACAGAAGAGAGCTGGATTTTCACATCTGCCTCTGCCTTCACTCTACTGTGATATGCTGTCCAGGCTGAAGTACATGAAGAAATCATAAGAGTATTTTAATAGCCTTTTCAGGTATTTGTGGGCATTCTTCTTTGATACTACACCAAAATTCCAGAAGTGTAGTTTCTTAAACGTTAGCTGCCATGTGGAATCTGAATCCCCAAGAATGAATTTTTCATACTTTTGACATTAGAATCCACCAACCTACCTTGCACTTTGAATAGATCTTCTGCCCTTATATGATTTTACAGCACCAAACATTGGTCATCTGGAAATAGTGGTTCGCTGAGTTATGGAGATCTTCCAAATGTTGACAAATTTCATTCTATGATATCAACAAATCAATTCATAAATATTGATTTCTCCCCAAAAAAGTCTTTAAATATTGGGAAGATGTTAAGCTCACAGTGATGAATAAAGTTTCCCACAATTCTAATTTTCACTTGAAGGTTTTGATTTTATCATTGGTAACAAACACCAGCAGTTGTTTTCCTTGAAGTGACAGGCTCATTCCAGTCATTTTCCAGAAAAATGTTGGTCAAATAGCCAAGTCTGAACAACCAGTTTGTCAGTCAAACCTTCCAGTGAAAATGGTCTTCCATGAAAAGAGCAGCTCCTTCAGCTCCCAGCACAAACCACCACACAGCGCTTTTCTTGAGGTAGCCATCACCCTGGAGGTGCAGCAGAAGTGCTTTATGTGTACTTCCCTTTTCGTTCTACAGCACATTAATTAAATCAATCATCTTCAATGACCACTCCTAAGTGAGGCTGGCTTGTTGTCTTTTCCTCTGCCCCTGTGATCGTGTGGCTGTGAAGAGCCGGCTCTTCTCGCACCTCCTGGTGCCATGGCCGGGATTCATGACCTGGCACTGACAGTTTTACCCACCGTTGCTCCTGCACCATCACTGCACATGTCAACATGTTTGTTCCAGAACAAACTGTGAAATTCAAAAGAGGTGCTCAACACGGACTGTCTCAGCACAACGTGTGCTTTCTGCCAAGCACTAAGGTAAAAGGTAAAAGAACCATCTTTCTTTGATGGTAAGTTGGGGTGAACACCGGACAAATACAAGTAAAGCAGTGAGTCTAGTCCCATGTGTAGATTCATCCACTTGGAAGGCAAAAAAACAATTTGGAGGTAGAGATACCAACTCACTCCCTGTGTCCTCCACAGCCACATCTTTAATCCAGAGAGTCGCTGTATCATATTGTGGACCACCGTTGTGGCCGGGATTCCTCTCAGTGGCTTTCATCTGCATCAATGGCATTCACTCAGCAGGGTCAATGGCCCGAGGTTCTTCAGCCTCCCAGCGCTTGTGTGACTCCTCCTGCCGCCCCACTTAACTCCTCGGGTAAGGGGCTCCGGAGGCTTTCTGATGTTTGGCTCTGAAACAGCTCATCACGGGTACACTTACAATATTCAATTCCTGTATCTTTAAAATTCTGAATGACTGGTCTCTAAATGATGCTGCAACTTAACTGGCACCAAAATAATATGCAAAGACATTCTGTGCATAGACACAACACAACAAGGTATTCACATCTATAAAGCCAGGGAAAGACAGCCTTTTGTCCTATTTCTGTTTCATATTTACAGTTTTGCCTAGTTTCTCTGGAGTGGATTCCTTCCTTCCATGAGTCAGAGAACCCAGTGTCTTCTTTTTGCATCTTTAGACTGAGGTGATGCTACTGTGGGTGGGAAAGCAAGTCTTCTCCCTTTTTAAGTCAATGATCTATACTCAAATATGAAAAACATATAAATGTTCTTTTGTTTTAGAATATATCATTAAAATCTAAAATAAGTTTCAGATAAAAATTATTAAAGTTTTTGAGAAATTTTAAAATAATATTGCCAAACAACTCAAAGTATACTTACTTCTTCACTGTGTTTCCATGTGGGCACAGGAAAAATTTCAGGATTGCAAAGCAGTAAATTACTTGATGATAGCAAGTTACAATAATTATAGGAGGTATAGCTGAAAATAGATAGTAAGAGCCCAGCAGAAATACTGAGAACTTATTAATGTCTAAAAGTGCACATATTTATACCATAAACCTACTTCTTTAGAAGATTCAAAAGACAGAAAACACAAATTCCATTAGCTGTCAAAGCAATGTCATCCTACAGTGTGTAGCTTCTGAAAAACTCCACTGTACATTTATAGAAAATAAAAGTAGAAAAGCAAACACTATCTTAGTATTATTACAGAATGATTATTATGGTCCATGCGCCAGACATTGAAGATCACCGTTCTAAAGAATGTGCCTGAGGGATCGCCACTGACCAAATGAGAAATGCCTTATGCTTTCCACAGTCGTCAGCTTCCAAATGGGATTGAATTGGGAGGAAAGGGAAGAGAGCGTGAAAAAAAAGAAAGAGTGGGTGAGAGGTTGCAGGGCCTGACCGGCCACCAGTTGCTCTGCCCTGCCCGGAACTGTAGGATGAAGGGCCCGGGCTGCCCAGGGCCTCTGAAAACGCCCCGGGTGAGGCACATGGGCCTTCTGAGTAGCCACCCCCATGCTGGCAACAGTGCTTCTCGGCTGTGCTCTGCACCCGGCCAAGCCTGTGGGGAGGACACAGCAGGCCCTTCTCAGGGATCACAACCTGGTGCATGGACCTGCTCAGGGCAGGGCGCCCAGAAGGAGCCCTTCCCTCCTGCTCGGTACACGTTAGGGCTCCTTGGAACACCAATGCAGGGAACGTAAGCCCCCAAGAACTGGAGATTGTTTCAGCTGGCCAAGAGATACACTCACTTTTCTAGAGATGATCTTTTTATTTATTTATTTTTTGATGTGGACCATTTTTAAAGTCTTTACTGAATGTGTTACAGTATTGCTTCTATTTTATATTTTCGTTTTTTGGCCACGAGGCATGTGGGATCTTAGCTCCCCGACCAGGGATCGAACCCACACGCCCTGCATTGAAAGGCGAAGTCTTAACCACTGGACCACCAGGTAAGTCCCTAGAGACAATCACTTCTAATTGTACAAAATCCTAGCCTCATCCACCTGCCACTTTTCCTCTGCATCCCCCACCCCCATTCCTCCACACAACAGCGCCCATGTCCAGGTGGTCTCTCTTCCTCTAAGCCTCCTTCCCCACCCCCACCCAGGCTCCTCTCTGCCTGTGCAAAAGGTGAAACCATAAAAATGCTTGAAGAATATGTCTAGGTGGAGAAGCTCTTCTCAACAGGACCAAGATGGAAAGCAGAAAATAAACACACAAACAGGTTCAACTTTGTAAGAATCTGCAACTCTGCCCACCAAAAAATGCACAAATAGAATGAAGAGATAAACTGAAAAAAAAAATGTTTGCAAAATAAACAGAGAAATAGTCTTCATATCTATGGCTCTGAAAAGTCAATTTTAGAAAGATGCAAAACATACAAGAAAAAAAGAGTCAAAGGATACAAATGAACCTCAAAAAATAAATACAAATGGCCAATAAACATGGAAGATGTTTGCCTCAATAAGAACACAAACACCAAATACATGGGTCCATTTCTAGAGCATCTGAACGCTCCAGGGCAGGAAAGGCTGTTGGGCAGCGGTTATTTAAATCATGGTGAATCCAGGTCCCAAAACGGTTGCTGGCATGCCTGGCCCACCAAGTCCCAAGGGCCAGAGCCCGGAGGGTCCCAAACCCACTCACCCCCCAGCCAGCCCTCCAAACACCCACTTCCAGTTGGACACTTTGAGGGTCCTTATCTACAGAAAGGCAGCTGTGTGAGGCGGAAGGGAACAGAGCCTTTACAGCAGTGGTGACGAAGGCAGGACGCCCAAGCTCTGTCAGTTACCACGGCTGGCGTTCATCCCCACGCATTCCACCCTGTGTTTCTAAATGGGGCGTTGCTTACAGCTGTACGTTCTTACCAAGGGTTTCCGCTGGCCTGCTTCTCCAATAACAACCTCTTCTCATCTTCAGAAAACTGCAAGTCCAGTTCAAAAGAATTAGTGTCCAGGTCGTGGATATACTGCTCGATGTTGCTTCCCACCCTCTGGGGCAGCCCCGCGTCCGTGGCGGACAGGGAGTGGGAGGAGGAGGACGACGACACCTGCATGCAGCCGAACTGGCTCAGGAGATTGTCGTACTGCACAGAGAAGAGGGAAAAGTGAGAACAGCGCCTGGACTTCCCTCCAGTCCAAAGATCCAGACACACTCTGACCTATCGTACACCCAGCAATCTCTCACCCCAAAGGCCATGGGAGACGAGTCACCGACGCACAGCCCAGCTTTCTCCTCTACTACACAGCTGACCACCAGCCTCAGGCTGCCCTGCGTCCCTCTTCTGAAAGCAATGTCAGAAGCTGTTCGCCCCAGAGAGGAGCTTATCCTCAGTCTTAACCTACAGGAAGGGGAGGCCCGGGACCTGCGGCCTGCTGGCTTCTTTGAGCCCCGTGCTGCCCTGGAGGATCAGGATTAAGATGACGACACTTGAGTACCGAGAAGCCATAGCTCTCAACATGGCAAACATGATGGAACAGCAGACAGAGGGCCTGCAACAGACACTCAAGAGTACGCACACACCCATGAAGCCAGGCTCCCTGGGAACCGAGACCTGAGACAACCGGGGCCCCAGTGGCTCCCTCAGAGCCTGGCCAGCAGAGCGTCCTGCTCCCCTGGCACACCCCTGCCAAAGGCCCTGGGGACCCCACCCGTGCCTGCCAGCCATGACCCCAGAACAATATCAGGGCCCAAGGGCCTGGTCGGCAACTAGGGCCAAGGGAGGGAGCCCTTTGCAGTCTGCACACGCAGAGGCTGTGGACAGCCGTGACCACTGAGGTAGGGAAGCAAGTCGCGGGGGGGGGCACAGATGGCACTCCACATCTGGCTCAATTCAAGTCTGGGCATAAAGGATATTTTAGGGCAAAAAAGGGAGGGATGTGTTGCTTAAAACAGTAGGTAGGAGACATAGGGGACTCTTGATCTCCAAGAGGTGATGCCAGTTGTGATTTTAACTTAGCCTTGGATGACTTTTACGTGAACTCTAGAATTCCTCAGTCAACTGAGGCGGAACTCTATATATGATAACTGGTTACAATAAGCCACAGTGACAGAAATCAAACCAGAAATATGGACTATGGCTGATAATCAAAACACCTGACATTACATGTAAATATGGGGGTCCTGGTGGAGGGTGACCTGAAGGTGGTGACACACTGCAGCTCACCATCCTCCTCGGCCCATTTCTGCATGTTTCATACCATCCATAAGGAAAGTTTAAAGGACAAAGTATACTGAAGACCCTACATCTGAGCTTCCCTTGGACCCCAGGGTGCCTCATCCCTCGGGCCTGTGCCACTGTCCCGCTTGTACCAGGCACTAAGAGCCGATAGTGACCAGTGTCCATCCTCAACATTACATCCCCCAAAAGTTCAAAGCAGCAGCAGAACCCTGGGATTCTCTGGGAAATACCAGAGGCATTCCGGAATGTCTTCAGATACAAAATTATAAGGACATCAGCCAAAACCGGAAAACAGAAGCCCACCAGGAAAATCAGCACCCAGGCTCTGGTTCGACCCCTTTGGGCAAAAATTAACTAGAGGAAATGAGAAAGGGATGCACGCACCTGGCGATCTGCACTCGGGGCAGACGTAAGCCTCTCTGGCCCCAGTCTCAGTGGGACTCAGACTCAGGTCACAGTGTTCACTACCCCTCCCCCTCCACGGATCTACACTGGCTCCCCCTTTAGCCACTCATCCCACCACCTGGGGTCCCTGGCCCCGCCCAGAGGAGCCACTTCCCAGGCGGGGCTGGCAGGACCCATCTCAGCCCTGGCATGCTGGCTTACATTGCCATAGCAGTCCTCATCATCTTCCGACATGGCCGGTAAGTAAGCTGTGAGCTTCGGAGGCGTCTGGTGATGCAGGTTCTCCCACGTGATCGACTCAAAGAACGGATGAGCTTTCAGAGGGTCGTACCCTTCCATTTCTTCACAGCCTAATCGCTTTGTGGCATCTAAAACCTTAAATAGAAGTCAAGTCAGCGTCGGGGTTAAAAAGTAATTCTGACAAAAAAAATTACTTCTGAGTAGTAGTTCTTTTCAATTCTTGGGATCTCCTGGAAATAGGAAGGGCACAGTGTGCTGGGGACAACTGAGTCACCGTGGGGGGTAGGGGGGTGGCCACGCACAGCTTTCACTTCTCCGGAGTCTCTGCTCCTCCCCCGACAGGTGAAAATGAATCACTACATCAAAAGTTAAATGAATAGCAGCAAGTATTCTCTTAAAATCCTGAGACAAGAAAAAGAGGAACTCACTGGCTTTAATAAGAGAATGAAGAGTTTACGTGAACAGGAAGCTATCACAGACAGGGAGTAAAGTGCCTTGGGTCCCCCGCCTGCACGTGGTCTCAAAGGGCCCCACAGCCAGCTCCTCCAGAATTCGGCTGCCCCCCCCAGACCCACAGAGGATCCAACGCACTCCCCCACTGAGGGGACAGATACACAAGGGACAGGTGGGAAGAGGCTGACTGACCCTGCTCCCCCAAATCAAGTGAATGGAAGGTCTGGAGCCAAAACACACCAGGAGAAGGGACACTATAGTTTCTAGAACATAAACAGACACTCCCTTCCCGGGTAAATCTGTTTACCTTTGCTATATAACTTGGGTTGATCTTTAGCACCTTCATGTAGCTGACTCTAAAGCTGATACAGATGTCGCTAAGTAGAATTTACAGCCACCTGCCACTGCAGCACACCGAGCTGCTGCAGCGTCTGGTAACTTAAAATGGTGTGTGTGTTGATGAGCAAATGCAAAGTGATACAGTAATTTCCTATCTTATTAAGCTCAAGAATCAGGCACTTGGAAACTGAAAAGGCCTGACAGGATGAGACTGAAGATATGCATCTACCTACAATCACTTATCAACCCTAAAATGCCCTTTTATTAAACACAGGTGCCTCCAAGGAAAGGCCCTCTGACCACAAGTTCAGAGAGACTCAGGGTGTGGCTACTGGATCATCCTACCAGAAGAAAATTCGAAATATTTACCAGAAGTTTTTCCACAAGATCTCTTGCCTTAGGAAAGAATTTTTCAGGAAAGTCATATTCCAACTTAATGATCTTCTGAAATATAAGATATTCATTTCTGTAAAATAAGAAAAGCCATCATTCTGGGCAGGGTCACACAAACCTCCCCAGTACAGAGCTGTACTTTCCTGGGACAGCCATCTCCCTCTCTCCCCAGAGAGCCACTATGTTCACTAAAGAGCTGTCATAAAAGTTCCCCCCACTCTGCCCTAACCCTGGGACTGCCCCCTCCCACTTCTCTGTCAGGCTGCTACGAAGCGCTAGGAGTGGGGTGTGGGGTGTGGGTCTCTTACCCAGCTCGGAACGGTGGCAGTCCTGCCACAAGCTGGTATATTATGCATCCAAGAGCCCAAAGGTCTGAACTTTAAGGGAGGGGAAAAACAAAGAAGAATGACATTTGTAACATTTCAGTGGCGAGCATGGTTCATTTCCATCCTGTCTGTTCACACCACCCATTTCAGCCTCTAATCTATTTCTCACCTTTAAAACCAGGTCAGTGTGAGGGTGGAAACCTGCTCTGGGCTCTCCTTGAGGGGGCCTCTCTGCGGATCCAGGACCAGAGGATCCCCCCCACACACAGCAGGAACTACTGGGCCAGGCTGGGCGCCTCGCTCAGGGGCAACCAACGACCTCACAGGCCCGGTCTGGTCCTGGCCAGGGAGCAGCCGTCACTCCTGACTACAGCAAACACTGGCCAAAAAGCCCCTTCTTCCAGTGCCAGGGGCAGGGGCAGGGGCACTGGCAGGTTGGTACAGCTGAGTCTCAGATTCTCTCACAGCTCACTGTTTACCCCCAGGCCACAGACGCGAGCTCATGTATGCCAAGGAGCCAAATCACAGTCCACAGGATGTGCACAAAGCAAGCTTTCTCTTTCC